TTTGGCCCGAAATTTCAGCGTTAGTTTGTAATTTCTCATGTGAAATTAATTACAAAATTGCCATGGCAACCTTCCGTAAAGCGTAAATCTGAGCAGAAATTATACATAACTTACATATTTCGCTTCCCCCTCACTTAAAGCAGGTGAATTGAAAACTTTTTTTACGAAAAGACGAGGTGATTGAATTACCGACACGGCAAAATACGAGCAAAATGTTATCCGTAGTCGCGACTACACGAAACAGCTCAACAACTCACCGCAGCCGCAGGACTACGCGGGAAAAATGGACAGTCACGTGGTTTTGATCATGCGCAGTAGCATGTTTAACCGTAGTCGTAGTCCGTAGTCGCCGTATCTTAAACTCCCTATTATTTAGATGTTAACCAACTTCTTGATTTTATTACACACTTTACAAGTATTTAAGTATTTTTTGATTTGTGACTATCTTGAAGTAAAGCTACAATCAGGGACAAAAGTAGTTGACACACTTGTTTAAAACGGGTGCTTTTAGCAAACATTTAATTCATCTATTATTTCATTCTTGTTAAACGCCGTAAATCCCCTCACCCCCCGAATCAATGTTGTCTGAAGTAAAAAAAAGACTTGAGGGTCCAAAATTCAACATTGATTTTGGGGGGGGAAGGGGTTGGGGTAGACAGGGGAATGGGATAAGTATATCCACTATGCAAAAAGGGGCCATTTTACGGAAGTGTGCCAACACTTTTGTCCCTCATTGTCTGAATGCAAAATTGTGCTACTGCACACAAGTTGAGCCGTGCATGACACTGATTTTAACTGAAATTAAAGAAATCAAAGACATAATTATGTTATTGGTGGTGGGGGTGACATTGACTTATTCACGACCGAATTATAGGGCCAATTGGAATTACGTGATGACGTAATAAAAGGGCTGCGATATCCAGAATTAACGTCGATATGGTTTACAAGCTAAAAACTAACGCTGAAACTCGCGCACATGTACAACTTTTGATGAATTTCAAGGGTACGCGTACTGAAAATGTTTTTAATAAAGTGAATATTTCTCGTTCTTCACTTTATCCGATGGTTAAGGCGCAAACAATCACGGGTAGGGTAAGGATTGACACGTAGTGGGGATAGTCACTGGCCGGCCACGGAAATATGGAGCGTTAGTGCGGAGCGGCCGTCACTGCGTTCAATATCGAAACTACGGAAAAGTGAAGGTAAATTCATGGCCAATTCAATAAAAAACTAAGGACAGCGTAGCAAACATTGCAAGTGTCCACGAAAACAATTACTTTCAATCCCACCTCGTGACACCATGAGTGACATGATAACGCAACGCAAATAGCGTGACATGAGCGCATATGTCTGTGTATTTGGACTGTATTTCTCAAGCGAAACCCTGTGTTTTTGTCTATTGTCGGCAGAGAAAATGAAAAGAGAGCTTTGAAACGTGAACTGGTATTTGACTCTCAAAGAAAACGACAGCTCAAACTGAGGAAAACACTGCTTCCTTCGTGTTACAACGGTTAACCACGTTTCGGAAAACGAAAAGTAAAATGAGTCTGTTATGACCTCTTAATGTCCATATGTATTCTCGTGGTTAACCGTTGAAACTCCTTATTTGCACCACATCGCTGGAATTTTTCTTGCCAAGAATACGTATTGCGAAGTACTTTCTACATAGCGGAATCTTCTTTTGCCTTTCGTGAGGAATTAGCGCATAAAAAAGGAAAATTTTCCAGCGCACGGCCGTCATTGATCACATGTTATCCCGCTTTCCTTGTCATCAAGTGAACTTCTGGGCAAAAGTAATTGCTGTTTTGGCGATGACGCAAACTGGTGTGTCTATCTTGAAAACAATTTCTTTGGTATTCTGTGATTTACGAGCTGGGAAATGAAATAGTTGTCCATCCAACATCAATAAAAAAATTATGCCACTGAATAAATGGCAGGCGGTCATCTAAAATCATTACAAAAGTACATTCCAAAACCTGGTCTAACCTGTTCGACGCCTACCTACGCTAAAGGTTTGGATCACTTAGGTTTGAAAAGGTCTCCAAAAAAAACACACATCTATATATAGGACATAGCACAAACGGCTGGCCCATCATTTATGAGGTTCATAACCTGTATATTGTTCACGTCCTTTCACTAATGGCACAAGTCAATGTCAAAAATAATGCATGTCCCCTCAGTTACTCTGCAGTACTTCATTCGCTTAAGTTAATCATTTACCAGAACAATTTCCATTGCACCTTAGTGTTTCCATCCTTTTTCCACTATTGATAATACTTGTGAAAACATTACATCCGCTGCAACGGCATTGATCATAACACAAATGATTTCCTCTCGACCCCACAGGGTATCAGGAACGCGCGCGGAAGTACAAGATTAAGTGATGACATACGCTTCGTACATTTTACTCTACGTATACTACAAATCAGGACGAAACTTTACAAATTGTTGTTTCTAAAAAAAACAATTTGGCCCATAGAGTAACGTCATCGCACAAAAATTCAGCAGCGTCAAAAATCTAGCCGGAAAACACAGATACATATTTCAGACAATCAGGGACAAAAGTAGTTGACACACTTGTTTAAAACGGGTGCTTTTAGCAAACATTTAATTCATCTATTATTTCATTCTTTTTAAACGCCGTAAATCCCCTCACCCCCCGAATCAATGTTGTCTGAAGTAAAAAAAAGACTTGAGGGTCCAAAATTCAACATTGATTTTGGGGGGGAAGGGGTTGGGGTAGACAGGGGAATGGGATAAGTATATCCACTATGCAAAAAGGGGCCATTTTACGGAAGTGTGCCAACACTTTTGTCCCTCATTGTAGGAATGCAAAATTGTGCTACTGCACACAAGTTGAGCCGTGCATGACACTGATTTTAACTGAAATTAAAGAAATCAAAGACATAATTATGTTATTGGTGGTGGGGGTGACATTGACTTATTCACGACCGAATTATAGGGCCAATTGGAATTACGTGATGACGTAATAAAAGGGCTGCGATATCCAGAATTAACGTCGATATGGTTTACAAGCTAAAAACTAACGCTGAAACTCGCGCACATGTACAACTTTTGATGAATTTCAAGGGTACGCGTACTGAAAATGTTTTTAATAAAGTGAATATTTCTCGTTCTTCACTTTATCCGATGGTTAAGGCGCAAACAATCACGGGTAGGGTAAGGATTGACACGTAGTGGGGATAGTCACTGGCCGGCCACGGAAATATGGAGCGTTAGTGCGGAGCGGCCGTCACTGCGTTCAATATCGAAACTACGGAAAAGTGAAGGTAAATTCATGGCCAATTCAATAAAAAACTAAGGACAGCGTAGCAAACATTGCAAGTGTCCACGAAAACAATTACTTTCAATCCCACCTCGTGACACCATGAGTGACATGATAACGCAACGCAAATAGCGTGACATGAGCGCATATGTCTGTGTATTTGGACTGTATTTCTCAAGCGAAACCCTGTGTTTTTGTCTATTGTCGGCAGAGAAAATGAAAAGAGAGCTTTGAAACGTGAACTGGTATTTGACTCTCAAAGAAAACGACAGCTCAAACTGAGGAAAACACTGCTTCCTTCGTGTTACAACGGTTAACCACGTTTCGGAAAACGAAAAGTAAAATGAGTCTGTTATGACCTCTTAATGTCCATATGTATTCTCGTGGTTAACCGTTGAAACTCCTTATTTGCACCACATCGCTGGAATTTTTCTTGCCAAGAATACGTATTGCGAAGTACTTTCTACATAGCGGAATCTTCTTTTGCCTTTCGTGAGGAATTAGCGCATAAAAAAGGAAAATTTTCCAGCGCACGGCCGTCATTGATCACATGTTATCCCGCTTTCCTTGTCATCAAGTGAACTTCTGGGCAAAAGTAATTGCTGTTTTGGCGATGACGCAAACTGGTGTGTCTATCTTGAAAACAATTTCTTTGGTATTCTGTGATTTACGAGCTGGGAAATGAAATAGTTGTCCATCCAACATCAATAAAAAAATTATGCCACTGAATAAATGGCAGGCGGTCATCTAAAATCATTACAAAAGTACATTCCAAAACCTGGTCTAACCTGTTCGACGCCTACCTACGCTAAAGGTTTGGATCACTTAGGTTTGAAAAGGTCTCCAAAAAAAACACACATCTATATATAGGACATAGCACAAACGGCTGGCCCATCATTTATGAGGTTCATAACCTGTATATTGTTCACGTCCTTTCACTAATGGCACAAGTCAATGTCAAAAATAATGCATGTCCCCTCAGTTACTCTGCAGTACTTCATTCGCTTAAGTTAATCATTTACCAGAACAATTTCCATTGCACCTTAGTGTTTCCATCCTTTTTCCACTATTGATAATACTTGTGAAAACATTACATCCGCTGCAACGGCATTGATCATAACACAAATGATTTCCTCTCGACCCCACAGGGTATCAGGAACGCGCGCGGAAGTACAAGATTAAGTGATGACATACGCTTCGTACATTTTACTCTACGTATACTACAAATCAGGACGAAACTTTACAAATTGTTGTTTCTAAAAAAAACAATTTGGCCCATAGAGTAACGTCATCGCACAAAAATTCAGCAGCGTCAAAAATCTAGCCGGAAAACACAGATACATATTTCAGACAATCAGGGACAAAAGTAGTTGACACACTTGTTTAAAACGGGTGCTTTTAGCAAACATTTAATTCATCTATTATTTCATTCTTGTTAAACGCCGTAAATCCCCTCACCCCCCGAATCAATGTTGTCTGAAGTAAAAAAAAGACTTGAGGGTCCAAAATTCAACATTGATTTTGGGGGGGAAAGGGGTTGGGGTAGACAGGGGAATGGGATAAGTATATCCACTATGCAAAAAGGGGCCATTTTACGGAAGTGTGCCAACACTTTTGTCCCTCATTGTAGATTCTGTTAATAAATTCAACAGAACTGGTCGCGTTTATTGAAGGTGGTGCCCAAGTTATCCGAGGACTTCACGAAAACATCACCATGAACGCCTCGCTTTCTTATGATCCTGATTTAGGAACTAGAAATAATTCAGGAATGAACTTTACCTGGCGTTTCGGCCAGATTAAAGGAAATAATTATTCATTACCGCTGCCTGGCCTAAGTGGTATATCCGTTCAATACTTCGCGGAGAAAGGTTTCGGACCGGTCGTCATCTTTGCCAAGAAACCCCTCTACCTAAATCAGACCTACATTGCAAAGTTGTTCGTCACCAAAGACTATCGAACATCAAGTGTGTTTCAAGTTATTAGATTGCAGAATGGAGAACCACCTAAAGTTTCGCTAAGGTACACTTTTAGACAGTCCTTATTTTTTTGTTGTGCCCGTAACTCTATCTGCCACTGATTATCAATAAGCCGTGCAGTAGAAATGTCCTACTTGACGCAGTAAATGTGAGTGATGAAAATGGTGGAGAAAACATGCATTTGCATGCATATGTATGCAAATTTAAGTTGAGGGAAGGTCTATAATATTTATTGCCAAGGAATGCGTGGTTCAGCCTCTTTTTCTCGGACACTCAGGGGCATATTCAGTGGGTGGAGAGAAGAAGAGCGCAACGTTCCAAAGATTCATTCGCGCCAATTATCCTACCCCTGTTGACTGTTTCAGGGTCTCCGTGGATATTTTAATCTAACTACGGGCAACTATAGTAAAATCTGGCGCGAAAGCTAGTCTCACTTTGTAATAACAACTCAGTGATAAAAATAAAAAATTAGTCCGGCAAATCTCACTATTCGCACTATTTTTATGGAGTCAATCCAGTCTCGAGATAGTCTATCACACCCACTGTTGTATCAGCGCAATACCAACTCACAAGTGTAAACTATTGTGACAAAGATAATTAACATGCCCTACAATGTGTGTATTTCTTTTTATATTTAGCTGTCTTCTAAATTGTGGAGTTCAAAAAAGTCCGTCAGTTAGGTTGAGTATCAAGTCACAATGCCAAGGTTCTCAGTGCTCCAAAATATTCTCCTACGAATGGACGCTCTATGGAAGAAACAAGTCCGCCTCAAATACTGATCCAATATGGCGAAAGGTGAATATATTGCAAAGCATTACAACTACGCCGCTAAACTCAAGTGACATTGTCATAAAAGAAAACTCGTTGGATGGGAGAAAGAACTATCGATTGGTGTTATTTGTCAGGACTAAAGACGGTATTGAAGGATTAAGTGCTTATGACATTGTTACTGCTACGCCACCTTCAGGAGGGAGGTGCGTGATCATTCCGTCCAGCGGCATCTCGTTTGAGACTGATTTCAACCTGAGCTGCAGCGACTGGGTAGGTGACGGTACCCCTCTGACGTATCAGTTTCAATTTCGACTGGACAACGGTCTGTACAGTATGGTATACTACGGAGTAAACAACAGCGTTATTTCATGGCTACCCCCTGGAAACCGATCACATAACTACACAGTCGAGATTCTTGCTACTGTAACTAACAGTTATGGAGCTTCAGCACCGACTGTTAATATTTCTGTTCGGGTGAGTTCATAGCTTGTTTCCTTTAGACAGTTAAGTCCTGGGTTGTGTTGTTCACAGTCTCGTTAACCCTAATCCTGAACAAAAAGGTTTCAGGTAGTTATGTTTACAAACCCTAGGTCTGACTTAATTGAATTTCAAACAACTTGATCCTGTTTATTTCCTAATAAAGATCAAGTACCAGTCAAAATCTGCCTGGGAACCGCTAATAATCACACTGCACACCGTTCACGGTAAAGTCAGCGGTATTTTAAAGAAGCCCACAACTACATCACCCCGGGAGTCATAGAAAGTTCTTGCGGTCTAGCTAGGCCACATCAACAGGGGTCTTTTTTGCATGAGCATGCGCGACCGCTGACTTGTCAAAGAGCACGCGACCAGTGACAGCGAACGTGCTGCATGGTTATAGGAACCAAATTGTTCACTTTGAAAGCTTGCTTGAGATTGAAATGGTAGCAGGAACTTAGGAAAGACCTTCGTTGTACAAAATAAGTAAAGATCTGTTGATTTAAAGTGGAGACTGATGCGCTGAACGAGGTGAAAGAGCAAGTTTCTCAAGGATGTCTGACACGAACATGGCTGCTTGTTGTTGTTTGGCGCTCGACTCGTGTCTTGATTCCCCTTTAAGAACCACAAAGTTTGGCATAGAGGGCATTGCTGATGCGTAGCTACTGAGCAAATTGTTCTTTATTTAGTGTTTGTCTATAAATCGGATGTAAATCAGTTTCTCGATGCCGTAGAGGATTTCTGTCAATTATTTGTTAATAGCTGATTTAGCCATATTTCGGGGGTGGATTAATAACGATCAGCGGGCGACTACCACGCCGTTTTCAGTTGGAATAGAAAGTTTTTGCCTTAAGTATTTTAGCGATACAAAGTTTGTTTATAGGAAAATTGTAGAACTTCTTGTTTTTGCGTGGACTAACATTGTAACGCATCTTTTACAGGAATTTGCTTTTAGCCAGAACTTAAATGTTCTAATGATTTTTAACTTTTGGTCGGCATCACATGTTTACTGTACTTCTTGGGAAACCTAACCGTTTGTTTCATCAAAATCGGTCACAAGATTGGACTTTAATTTCAGTCCTATTGAATGCAGTTTGGACTGTGTCTCATTGATATTCATTTTTTTTTATTGTTCGAGACATACAGAGTGACTACCACCAACATCTCACCAGGTGACTAATCTACGTCTCGTGTGCTCTTAATTTTGTAGCTTTAAAGTGCTGGGAAAATTGTAGAACATATATTAATTCACTGCTGAACTGAACATCGGCTTTCGCGCACTTCGAACCACTCGCTGAAATTTGCTATGTTTTTTTTTTTAATATTTCTCTACCTTTCTGATTTCAAAACAAAAAAAATTGAAAGTGTTTACTTGCATCAACAATCGTTTCTGCACTTCGTTTAGACTTTGATGAGGTCAGCGCAATCCTCCAGGCACTACGTATACGCGCGCTGATGTCCAGGTCAAGTGGGGAGATGAAATTTGATAGTGGATCGTGTATGTTAAAGCCGGTCTACTTCGCTTTTGTTAAGACCATGTTAGAGTTTTTTTTTTTTGCAAACTACACATTTTGTTAAATCACGAGCACATTCGCCAAGACCAATGAGCAAAATAATCGATATGGTAGCTTTGAGACGCGCCATTTTGATGAAGGCAAACCCTGTGGTGAGCCTCCATGCAAATCTCTTGCTCAGCGGTCGCGCATGCTCATGCAAAAAAGACCCCTGTTGGCCACATCATTATAACTTATTATTATAGCCTGCGCATGCGCGTCTGACTCATCCCATGTAAGGTAATCCAAGAGTGTCTTTTTTTTTGGATTCCACTCTATGGATTCCGGATTCCACGTAATGAATTCCAGATTCTTTGTCAGTGGGACTTGGAATCGGATTTCAATCGTTGATGGAATTTCGGGCTGCTTAAGCTGTATTCCGCCCGGCTCGCTTCGCTCGCCAACCTTTGGTGCCGTTTCACTCCTTTATCAATTTTTCTCCTCAGGGGAGCCTGGTCCCAGGCTAAGGATTCCGGATTCCTTGAGGAAAACAAAAATCATGGAATCCGGATTCCCTTACATGTGGCGATCCGACCGTCTGTCATACTATACATTTTCAATATCGATGTTTGACACTGGGAGTAAAACTGAGACAAAATAAAATGTTAAGGCATTTGTGGGCCATGGAAAGAAATAAGAACAAGCTTTTCCTAATTACTCAGCAAAGTCGTGTAAGCTGGAAAGTGACTCTGGACCGTGAATAGGGTCCTCGAGCACAGGCGCAATTGCGTGGTGTGGAGAAGGCAAAGCATGCGGGAGGCTCTCCCTCTCCTTCCTCCCCCCCCCCCCCCCCCCCCACCCCCCCTCCCCCTCCCCTTTTCATGCCCTTCCACCCCTTCCCCTCCATCCTCTTCTCCCTTCACACCTCCATTCCCGTTTACTCCTTTTGTTGTTTTGTTTTTTTTCTCTTTTCTAATATCGATCCCTACTCTGCATCGCCCCGCATACACACTTATGGATGAACTTTTTATTAACTTTGTTATAGTAGATTTATAAGCCTTTCCTAATTCCGCAACAAAGGCTGGTAAGCTGGAAAGTGGCTGTGGACCGTGAATAGGGTCCTCGAGCACAGGCGCAATTGCGGGGTGGGGGGAAGGCAAAGCTTGCGGGGGGCTCTCCCCCTCCTTCCTCCCCCCCCCCCCGCCCCTTTTGCCTGTTTGCTTTTACGCAGTCACGCCTTCTCCTCCTATCCCAGGTAACTAGAAACCTTTCAACAGGTTAAGGCCTCGTGATTCGTTGTTGTTGTTGCAGGTTAAACCATCGCAACACTTGAGCCCAGCGAACTTTACCAGTGTCTTGACAGCTAATGATAGCCTTTTTAATCAAGTGATCGAAGATGGTGATCTGAACAAGGCAGCACAAATATCCAATACAATTCTAGAAGCAATTGGGCAGGATTCGTCCCTCAGTGCCGAGAAAAAAACGAAGGTAATAGTATTTAAAAATAACGTTTATAAGGATCCGCTCAAAACAGAAAACTACCGGAACCGACGTTCAGAAACTTTCCATTACTAATTAATGTCCTCTTTGACTGAAATTCATGTGGCCTTTAAGAGCTTCTTTGGATTGAAACACCCTATAAAAGAAAAGGATATTAACAGGGTCTCGAGAAAAGGACTACAGTTAATGCTAACTCAATCTCAAGCAATTATTCATCCAGCCGCGATGTTGCCCAGTAGTTTAGTGTAAATATACCCTCACACGGTTTTTTAAACTTTTTACTGGGGCCAATTAGTGGAAATTCGTCATCTCGGCTTGGAAGAACGCGGTGAAATCAATCAGTTAAGCTGCCAAAACCTTTAATTGAAACTTGGTAAGTTTATTAATTTCATTTACGGCGCTCTTTCCAGCAGTGTCAATGGACATTCGCTTACTGGTTTTTATCTGAACTTTAAAACACCGTGTAAGGGTCGATTGATTCGTGTTAAAGTGTAATCAGTTTTGTTACTTATCATAGATTCAGGAACTGATTGTGGGCAAAATTGCCGCGTTGAAAGTTAAGAGTCTGCCAGACCTGCTGCAGTCGTCTTCTGTGATTGGCTCAACCATTCAGGACACTGAAACAACATCTATAAAATCTTTGGTGAGGTATAATTTACCTATGAAGTCCCCATAATCGCGCTGCTGAAACAGAGCAGGTCAAAGTATGTTTTTATAACTTTTGCTATTTATTTCGTATCATCATTCACAGTCTAAAACGTTTGAATTCGCGCCAGTCCCTCCTCCTTCGCGCTGTTTCTGCCATCAACTTCATGTTCAAAAGTAATAAGTGCTTAATGGCTACGATTCCTTATTCGGTTTCCCCCTGAATTTTTATTGTGTTGTTCCTAACTTTTCCAGCAATCTATGAGCAGAGCTTCCTTTTGTCTTCTCATTAATCGAGAAGGAGAAAAAGAGGCTCTGACTGAATCGCATCAAGCCTTTGAAGTCATCGTAGCCCAAACTTTTGAACTGATCAATCTTATCTTCTCTCGTCAAACTGGTTTTTCAACCACGAGCATTCTTGTATTAATATAACGATGATCATAACTGAGCCCGCTGTACTAGACGCTCGGCTATAAGGCCTGGGAACTGTATCCTAGCAACAAGCAGCGCATCCTCAACAAAGTTCTTACTCGATTTCATTGTTGACTCCAGACCTCACTCTTTTGACTCCGTGACGTTGTCATGTGCAAGAAAGAAGGGCACTGCAGGGGTGGAGAATGACTCCCTTTTTGCAGAGTCTTTTTCGAGTACGACAAAATCAAACAAGCGAAAGAAACGCTCTGCTCGCAGGGCGCTTTTCCAGGTGAAGAATTCACAACAATTCGCAACATCTTGGAAGCGGTAATTTGTTAGCAGTCCGTTAAAAAACTCGCAGTAACATTTCTTTCTCTAAACGTTCGCTTTTGTCAGGAATTCGCCCTACCTGCTATTGACTCCATGGCTTCACTGCTCAGGAATGCTTCCCAGCAGAAACAAACGGACAACATACCGCTGATCACCCCGTCAGCAGAAAACTTAGGCTCATGCCTCAACAACGTTCTGAAGAGTGCATCAATGGTCGCATCAGGAAAACGTGGGTCCAGTCCTCAAGAACAGGTATTTATTTTCGTAGTCCATTACTAGCTGGCGCAGACACGTGGGAAATCTCAATGCAGTTCCCCAGCAAATGTAATGATAGTGTTAATGCTTGATTGGTATCCTGTGGCTGTTATACACATACTCAGGAGCCTATGATTGAAAGTTTGTTCTTGTAAGATAGCTGTCTTGCTCAAATTTTTTATCACTCATCTGTTGTAATTTAATGATTTATTTTTACTTTGGCGGAGCGCGAAGTAAAGGATTCGCGACGCTCAGGAATGTTCCAAAGTTGGGGACCAGATTTGGCATGCAAAGTCTGTAGGGTTTCGGCTTTATTCGGCTATTTGGCGAAGTGAGAGCCGAATTAGTTCGAGATCAGTTCGATTTCTTTGTTATTCGAGGAAGAAAGAATTACTTTCTTAGATTGCCCGGGGTTTGAACCGACTCACTTGTGTGACCCATCAGATCAGATGAGACCCTTAGCCGATTACGCCACTGCGACCCAAGGTAACTTGAGATCTGAAAAATAGCTATAAGTTATGCACGAGGTACGGGATAAGTTGGTGACTTTTCGACTTGTTCTTATTTATTATTCTGGCTAGAAATATTGACTGCAAAAGTATTTTGCAGAAAACATTGAATCAATTTGGGCGAGTAGCTTCAAAATATGAGCGAAAATCGAGATACAAGAGCAATTTTCAGTGCGTCTCACTGCGACTGATATGTCCATCGCGCCATATGTTCTCAAAAGTGCGTTTCAGTTTTGCTTTTTATCCTGGAAACCTTGTCTTTTTCTCCTGGAATCTAGCTTGGAATTCGTTATCCACCGTGGAAAAAACAAATTTATTAGTTTTCCGGTTAAATTCCACGCCGATAGATCAAAATATCAGTTTTGTACTACTACCACCCGAAGTAAGCTTATAATAATTTTCACGCGAACTGCCGTGTTTGTGTTTTTTTTTTTCTAAATCCAGCGGCCGAAATAATGCTAAGTATGCTTTTCAATACACTTTTAAATACAACACCACACAATACACAAAAAAGAAGAAGAAGAAAAGAAGGAACAGAGTAAAGACCTTCACGACGATATTCGCGGTGGGTTACCTATCCAGTTCCTAACCCCACCCGACAGGGCTCAACATGAGTGGCGCGACCAAAAAAACGAGTTTCGCGAGAGTTATTGCGAGATACGTATTTTTAGTTGATGTTGCGATGTTGTACATTAATTATCCTCCGCGTAGAGATTGTGCATTTTCAGCAAGTTTTGTAAGGGAGTGTACTGATGTTAGTTCATAGTTACGTTGGTGGAGAAGGTGTGGAGTTAACTGTACATAAGTGAAGTGTTGTTGTAGAGAAGTTAAAGGACGTGGAACTGAGATCTCGCCATGCGCAATTATTTATGACAGAAATTATAATCGAATTGGGTTACAGCCATGCACCTAGCAGACTTCCGGTGAAGAAGTTAAGACGTCTGTTACACAAAAGGAGAAAAGTAAGGGTATTTGTATGGAAGGGTATCCGGAAAAATATCATTTCTTACTATTCCTCCGTATTCACAATTAATCCACAACCACGACACCGAAGTGTACGCCCCCATAGCGTCTTGTTACAAAGAATTAAATCCATTTCTTGGTGCTCGATTGTCGGCGATTATCGTTAGTTGTCGTGAACGAAACCTTACGTAAACTTAAAAACAAGTACAGTGGAACCTCTATCCAGGGGACACGATTGGGACCAAGGCAAGTGTAGCCTGAGTAGAGATGGGCAAAGGTTTGGGCGTCCGCGCGTGCGAAGCGCGCGATTAGTGGGGACCCATACCTAATGGAAAATGGGAACCTATCGATGTCAGAAAAATTTGGTTCAAAATTATCGTGTTCTTGGACGGCCGCCACAAGAGCGATTTTGGTGAAGTTGGCGAAAATGGTGATCTAATTTGAATATTTTGCAACCTCATGTAAAATTGAGGCCAAATTCCCCATTTTCGTGAGATTTTCCATTTTTGTCAACTTCGCGACTTTACGAGGAGTGCCTCTTGTAATCTCATTTAAACCTTCGCCAACCCTCGGGCAATTTTTTGGAGAGATTCACCCTTTGGCCATTTTCGCCAAATTCGTCAATTTCGTTACTTCTGTATAAGCCTTTAGCGAATTTTAGGCATTTTCGGCAAATTTGCCATCTCCTTCAAAATGGCCGTTGCGATTTCTCGCCAAATTCGCCACTTTTTGGCGGGGACTCTTTGCCTCCTCATTTGACTTGCAGGCAAGGCTTTGGGGATTTTTCGCTATTTTGGTCAACATCATCATTTTCGTCAAAATCACCACTTTCAAAGGGCCTCTTTGCCATCTCATTGAAAATTTTGTTACGACTTTGGCGAATGTTCGCCATATTCGTTGCCAATTGCAAATTCGCCATTTTCGCAAAATATCCCACTTTCATCAAAATCGCAACTCTTAATGGGCACCCTTAGCTTTGTTATAACTTATTGGCAAACTTGGCGAATTTTCGCCATTTTTGCCATTGGGCGCATTTCTGGACATGACTGGATGAATCGGGCCTGAACGTTCTAAAAATGAAATAGTAATTGATAAACGGGCACTTCCTTCTTTAGGGCAAAAGTCTTGTGAAGGATTCCATCGGGATCATCAACATTATTGCAGATGCCGTGTTAGCAATGAAAGTTGCAGATGAAGAAGTGACGCGAATCAAGACTGCAGAATTGTCCATGACATTTGGACGTCATACCCCAACTAAACTTCTTGGATTATCTATTGAAGGAGGGGACGGTAGATTTGTTTTACCAAATGGAACATTAGATTCCAGTACCAGTAACACAACCTTCGTTGACTCTCAAGTAAGTTTTCATAAATTCTCTTCCTTTTCAAAAAATCCTCGATTAGTTTTTCTCCTTTCGAATGAGGACTGCCATCAAATAAGCTACGTAACCTGCGCAGCTCGAGAGATCATCAGTACGTGTATTGAGGCAGACGAGTTGCAAAGCCGCGCGGAGAATAGAGAAGAGACACTTTGATGCGTAGCCTTAATCTGAAATGATTTTCCCTCCTGCTGTTCAAAATAGATTACACGTGAGCTACAGTTTGATTACAGGTAATGTGCTGCTATTGCTTTAATTCTTTCAAATTTCCATTTTTTTTTCACAAGTGAAACGCCGAAAACATTGCATCGAGGCAGTTTGAGAATTAAGTCTTTTGTTATTTTCACCCACGTTAAGCTAATCTGGAATCTGGATCCTGGACATTTTTGCTTGTGGAGGTTTGGTCAGTTCATTTAATAATGTTATCCCTAGCGCTTGGAATCCGGAATCCACAGCATGAAATCCAGAATCCAGACTATCTTGGATTTCCTTACATAACAATCTGAAATACAATATAATGTGTTCATTACTCTTGAAAATAGTCTGTATATTATAACGCGTTTTTAATATATACACACTCAGTGATCTTGGTGATTCGAGCAATCTGATTGGTTCGCTATCTCGGAGTATGACGTTATATTTACCGCGATAGGTGGTCAATATAAGCAAAACAAAGTCGCTGTCGTGAACTGGGTGTCTTGCCAAAGTCTTTGAGTAAGAATTTTTTGAAAATATAAGAATATCTTACTGTTGACGATTTTGAAGGTAAGAAAAGACTTCATGGTGTTTAATCAGTGTGAATTATTGTGATATGATTTACTGTAGCTGGCTTTTTACACACTCGAATCAACGTTTACCACTACAGAGGAAAACGAAGGCGCTTTGTCACTGTTTTGTGAACTGGGGATTTCCTTGCAAGAGCAACTTTGCCTTATAAGTAGAAGTTAATTTTTAGAAAAAAAGGAAGGAAAATTATTTTTGAAAATTGTATGTGCCAGAAAGTTAATAAGGTAAAGAACACTGCGTATAAACAACGCTGACAGAACAAATAAAGCTCTACCTTTCTACTCAAAATGGGTAGTAATTAAAACTTTCGACGTTTTCTTTCACACTATTGACGGTAAAGCTTACAAAAAAATAGAAACGTAACTATGATATGCCATGTTTGAAGACACTGTAAGCATAACGATCTAACCGTCACGCATCTTCTGTTTACGGCTGCATGTTCGCGCATGAATTCACCCTTCAATCAAACCAATCGTTTTTAAATGGTTACCTTTCTAATTGTGTTGAGATCACTTCGTGTGTATATACTGAACAATTATTCACCTCAGGCGCAGTTCATACTGTTGAACAAGACCGCTCTTAACATCGGCGTTTAGTCTCGCTTGCTTGGAGACTAGATAAGAAATGAGGAGGTGATTAATTCTACACGAAACAGGATTTACACGCAGTTCATACTGTTGAACAAGACCCCTCTTAAAATCGGCGTTTAGTCTCGCTTGCTTGGAGACTAGATAAGAAATGAGGAGGTGATTAAATCTACACGAAACAGGATTTACTCGCCAAAGGTTTGTCACTTCCTACTTTATTTTATCGACGGTCGAGTATTTCAGGATATTTGCATTTTATATCGTATTCGACGAAATTTTTCTGGATTGATTTAGTACGAGTGTTACTAACGACCGGAATTACGTCTGGGGTCGCAGGCTATACGCGTGTATAGTCACACGAAAATTCAAGGGCGTCGATTCGAGAGCAATTACATCATTCCCGGAGATTAAAAAACGTGATGAGAACATGGCGCGTCATTTCAATCATCGCCGAAAATAAACCGCATACTCATCACAAGATTCATTTGCATACAATGAAAGTTTACAACACCCGACCAGTTACTCTTTTGCTAATTTAGATTCGGGCCCCTTCTTTGGAATGTCTTTCAAAACGACCTACACCTCTCCACCGATGAAAATAGGTTAGTCATGTACGCGGATGACCACCAACTGTTTTCAGTGGCGAAGACAGCTAACGAGGCGGAAAGCATTTTAACTGAGGAAGGAAACAACAACTCTAAGTGGTATAACAACAATCTTTTGCAACGAAATTTTTCTAAGTATCAAGTGATGAGTCTGGGCCCGAGGAATTGGCATAAGGATTTACACATCGTGATTAATGACACTGTAATTGATCAAAAACCAGAGATAACGCTCTTAGAGGTTACCCTAGTCGATCAACTATCATTTTCGAGTCATGTAAGCAATGTTTGTAGAAAAGCCTCCTCTCAAACTGGCGTTCTCCTAAGATTGCGTAACCCCATTCCTACATCTGCTAAATTGCACATTATTAAATTCGCTGGATACCCCATCTCACATACTGTCAAACTGTCTGGCATTTCTGTCGTTCTTCTGATGCCACGAAACTTGAACGAATTCAAGAACGAGCATTACGCGCTGTGTACTTTGACAACAAATCGACGTACGATGAACTCTTGCATGGAGCGAATGTACCAACACTTCATACGCGGCGACTACAAGCTATTGCAATCTTAATGTACAAAGTAAAAAATGGCCTGCCGCCTCCCTATATTGTGGACTTATTTGTCGTTACCAATTCTCAGTATCATCTTAGAAATCATGATTTCGTCATTCCTAGATTTCGGACTGTTGCTTTTGGCAAACACAGCCTGACCTACCTAGGCCCTGTCATTTGGTCCAAATCCGATATAAATATCCGATCGTCTGAATCTTTGGACATTTTCAAAAAGCGTATTAAACTGGTTAATTTCACAAGCCTACTTGACAGCCCTTGTAAAGACTGTTTTTTATGTAACAACTAATAACTGATTTTATATTTCATATTTTATTCATTATTACATATAATATTATTTTATCGACAATCAGATAAGTAATTTTAGTTAGGTGTCCCCAATTAGTATACTTTGTATGCTAGCGACTTTGACACGATAATAAAGTTCCTACTTACTTTGCCTTCGGCAAATAATTGTTAAATGTATTTCCTTTAGATATCGCTAAGATTCCGAGTATCGTGATGTGCAATGAAGTGTAATGAAACTTGCTGAAAATACAATTATTTAAGCCAATGGTTTATATGCCAGTGACGTGTCTCATGCACCATGTTCAAGTCGTTTTTGTTTGTTTGTTTTGATTTTTCAGATACTCTCAGTTCCATTCAATCCTTACACATGGGATGTCACAAGAGAGCGAGTGGACTCTGATATCTTAGCACTGGACTTGAAAGACGACGAGCGTAAACCGATCAAAGTATCGGGTCTCATAAACGACGTCGTAATTGTTACACCACTGAAACCTCAACAGATATCTTTTCAAATTCGGCAGTATTTCACCCAGAATGATAATTTACGATTTCACTTGATAGATGTTAAGTACGAAAACACGTTGATAATGGTGGAAATCGCTCCAACTGATGAAAGTGTGACCCTTTTTGTTTACATGCGACATAGTCAACGGCCAACAACACAAGTGTATGATTTCAATGCCACTATCTCCAAACAGGCAACTTGCATTTGGTGGAATACGCAGGAAAAAAGCTTTGGAAGAGCAAAGTGTTTTTCCAACAGATTTGCAACCGTTCCAATAGAAACAGTTGCCAGGCAACCTGGAAGGTACTTTCTAGGGATTAAAAGTGATGACACCAGTGTGACTTCTCTGAGGAGACAAAAGAGATCATGTTTCGGAAATGGACGTCAAAAGCGATCATGTGTGCAAGTGAAGGACCCCCCTCCCACTCCCTCTCAGGGCAAAAATGTGTCTGTGTTACCCATGTATGACCCAGCCATCTCAAGGAACTATACTATGAAGGTGGCCTTGGGGAGCTGTGTGTTCTGGTCAGAAGAGCAGGAAAAGTGGACGGCAAAAGGCTGTCAAGTAAGCAATAACTGATGACTGAGCTATTTTTTTTGATTGGTGTTGGACCTAGGGTTGGTTGCTAAGTGTAAATTGTTAAGCCTCGCAGTAAGCAGTAAGGAGCAATACATGCATGCTTTTGCCGTCTCCACTTTCATCCACGCCATCTTTTGGCTTCCTATGTATCGTTTGTGATCTTCTGCAGTTGTATAGTGTAGTTATTTTCATATTTATTTTGATCAGCTGGAAAATTATAACATGCCTTAAATTGCACAACCCATAAAAGTTCATTAATGAACCAATTTTGATATATTGAAAAATTCATAACTTTTAGTTCTCGAGGCTTGAAAGAATAATTCAAGAGAAATCTCCTTGAGGTTCATAGATGAATTTTGTTTGTTGTCCAGATTCCCCAAGCCTCCGAGCCAAGTATGAATTTCAAGATATTTCGAAATTGGTCTATTGACCTAACATGGAAACTTGGTTTTAAATTTTTCACTCTTTATTCCATAGGTTTTGTCAGCAACGTTAAATAGATTCCTGAACTGTTCATGTAATCACCTGACCTCCTTTGGAGGTAGTTTCTTAGTAAAACCCAATCCCATCGACTTTGATCAAGTGCTGATAGAGTTCAAGAGACTTGCAGATACAGGAAATGTCGCAGTTATTGTAACCGTGGTAGTGCTATTCCTGTGCTACGTTTTCGTGATCGTTTTCGTCAGAAAAGCGGATCAACAAGACACCAGAAATGTAAGTACTTATTAGGTAACTTGAATAATGCAACGACCACTTGGAAAAACATTGCAGCGGTGTGAAGGTGGATCTTAGTGTAAACCAGACCGAGCAATTAAAAATATTAAACCGAAGGCAAGACTCATCGGACAGCTCAATTAGAGAATAGAGAACTCGCTTTCCTAGAGCTCATCAAATCAAACAGAGAGGTATTTTTTTACTACCATGAAGACAATTGAACGGCCCTATAAAATGAACTGGCTGTACAGTATTATTCACAACTATGTTTTCCAGCCCTCTTAATTCTTTTAGTGAAGTCTTACTTCGATAATAATGTATGACTGTGCGATTATCAAAACACCATGCTCTATAATCATCTATAATGTAAATTTATGCGTAAACGGCATCGCAGAGGCGCAGAAGAGTTAATTTTTCTAGTTTCTGGGTTGATGGTAGGTGGTAGTGCGGAACCTTCAATTATGGCTTCGGTGACTCATTTGACATAACGGAATCTAATCAAAAGCAGGTACCCTTTCAGATCTCTTAGGATGTTTTAATGGAAGCCAATTTCTTGTTTCTGGCCTTGCAAACATGAATAATGAAAACAAACCAATGCAAAAACAAAAAATAAATTATACCGCGTTCTCATATAGCGTCATGGTGGCAATATCAATGTTCCACGACAATGTAACGGCGGCCATGTTGTTGTTTCAAACCAATCTTGTTGGATTGTGTCAATAAACACTTTCTTTTGTTCCAAAACATTTAACTAGATGCTGGTCACGAGAATGAAAATGCTTGACACGGGACGAAACTTAACAATCAAGGGAACAAAAACACACAACACTTTCGTTTTCTTTTTTGTTTTAGAATGGCTCTCCAGTTGAGCTGCCAACAGGATCAAACAGTTTGCACGAATATGAAATAACAATAACAACAGGAGTCTGGAGGAACTCTGGAACAACAGCTAAAGTTGCTATAGAAATATACGGCTCTGAAGAAAGCACCGGGAAGATTCCGCTCAACGACATGGAGGATGCCCCGACGGGCACACTTTTCTCTAGAGGAAATACCGACGTTTTTGTTCTTAAAGTTGAAAAACCACTCGGTTCTATTGAAGGGATGAGGTTTGGGCATGATAACTCTGGAAATAGTCCTTCGTGGTTTCTAGAGGAAATCATTGTTCTTGACAAACAAACGCTTTGCTCTTGGACATTCACGAATACTCAGTGGCTAGCTCTTGAAAGAGGAGATGGTAGGATTGAACGGATGTTGGAGACAGAACAAAATAAAATAGATTTCAACAGCGAGGTTTTCAAGCGATGGTGGAAAGGACTCACAGAGAAACACATATGGGTCTCAGTTATAGCAAAGCCAAGGAGAAATCGCTTCACACGAGTACAAAGGGCGTCATGCTGTCTTTCACTGCTATTGACAGCTATGCTTGCAAACGCCATGTTTTATAAACTGGACGGAAAATCTGAGAATTTGATTCAAATCGGACCTTTGAAATTCACTTGGAGACAAGTAGTTATTGGTATCGAAAGCGCGCTCATTGTTGCTCCTATAAACATTTTCATAGCTTTCCTGTTTCAAAAGGCTGCCAGAAACGCAGAGAGTCAAACCCGTGTTTGCTTGAAAGAAAAGTTTCTCATTTACTTCGCCTGGTTTTTATTCGTTTGTTCATGTTCTGTTTCAGCGGCGTTTACCATCTTCTACAGCTTGGTCTGGGGAAAGGAAATCAGTGAACAGTGGCTGTCTTCCATGTTTATCTCTTTCACCGAGAATGTGGCCATTACTGAGCCAGTCAAAGTGTTCTTTACCGCAATAGTACTGTCAGCCATGATAATCAGAAAAAAGAGAAAGAAAGATGGTAACGAATACGTAAAAGAGGCTAAAACTCGAACTTCATCGTCCAAAAAAGGACATTTATGGAAGATGAAGCTGAAAGAAGTAGAGGAGATGAGAAGGCGTCAGGCGAAAAAACAAAATATATCTCGGTTCTTTGTGGAGTTTTTCATCTACCTTATTTTTGTTTTCTTGTTGATGGTGGTTTGTTATGGTAGCAGAAATGAACATCGATACATGATGACAAAATCCATCACAGAAGGACTGCCAAGATTTGAAACGGTAAGTAAAATTTCCTTAAAAATACTGCTGAAGTATTTTCTCTTTTCTTCTATGATTGTTTGCTGGGAAAAACTATCTTTCCGTTTAGCGGCAGAAAACCGGGATCATCGTTTACCAGATCCTCTAGTTGGGCCTGTGGGATTAGTCCCTGGTTACCATATTTGAGCTAAAAATATATCAGAGGGTAAGAATTTCAGAACTGCCACTGGAACATGCCCAATGGCTGATTCCCTTTAATAAGGTAGGAGACTACTCGAATCGTTTCTGTGGGGATATGAAAAGCGCACTGTTTTAGTGGTAAGCAGAAGGGAACGATTTGGGCCTCTGACGGCTCCAAAACACAGTTTAATACACCCCGCCCCCGGAAAATAAGGCCGCGATTTTCCCTAGTTCAGCCCTTGCATAAGTAACAAGAAAAAGTAGTCAGATTCTTTTCGCAGCAAAGATATGTTTGCGTAGTTGCTTTGGCTTTGTTGAAGGCTCTAGGGTGTATGCGTAGAAGGAGATTACCAATGTGAACCAAAAACAGAATAGATGGCGCCTTTTTTTACATGCCACTAATTGACTGATTGATTGATTGATTGATTTGCATTTGTCGTTTTTCCTTCTAGCATTCTAGAACTCTTTTTTAGCAAAACTAGTACACGAACCACGAAAATTTTTTGTTCTTTATTAATTTTTTCGCTTTTTTGTTTTTGGGATACCAGGTTTTTAACAAGAAACAGTACTGGAGATGGGTTAGAAATGTTTTTTTGCCGGGTGTATTTGCTGGTAGATGGTACAACGGACGTTACGAAAATCAAACCATGTACATCGGAAATAAACGTTCAGTCCTGGTAGGAATGGCTAGAGGAAGGCAACTTAGAGTTCAACCTGGTGAGTTTGGACATTTTTTTGAAAATTAAGCAAAAAACGAAAAATTTGCGTCATGTCATTCTTTTCAAAATGCTCTCATAAAGCGCGAATAAGTGGTCATTTTCCCCTCGTATTGGTAAACACCGGTTGTAGACGCATGCGCAGAAGGAGTGGAAATGCCACGTGGGACAATCTCGACCCCTGTGCTTACGCAATCTGACTCTTGAGATTGCGAAGTAGGCCATTTTTCCTAATAGTTTTGCATCATCATTTTATATTCTTGTTGACAGCTTAATATGAATCTGATACTGCTCTCAGGAACGATGTGCTTGTTTATGTTTGTTTGTATATGTAATAATTGCCAACGAGCAGCCTCGCGAAGACGCGAGGCTGCGAGGCGGCAGCCTAATAGAGCCGTGCGCGATTGTTCCAGGGGCAGAAAAAGTCTCGAATCGATGTAACATAGAGTAATGTAAGGCAACCACGACGTAATGCAGAACAGAGAATGCATTGTTTTCGAGCGAACACGTGATACAGATCAGAGAATCCACGAGCCGTGTGCGTGTTTGTGAGTCCCGTGCTTATGCTGTCTTCAACCAATCGTCGGGTGGATCATTTCCATCCTACGCGATATCTGTCGCATTTGCCCGCTGGAATTTTTTATTGCATGCCGCTAAGAAAAATAATAACGCTGCCACTGCCCGCGTGATATGGCTATGGGCATGCGTGAGGTACTGGCCCGGCTGTGGGTTGGTGTATGTGTGCCCCTTGCTTTAAGTTGCACTATTTTCAAGGTAATTTTCGCATAATCAATCGAATTAAGTTCAATCTATTTTTCATCAATTGCTGTATTTCAGGACATTCATAAACAAATTCAACAGCGCGCGCGTATAGGTAAAATCTTTGCTCGTTGGCACTTAGCGATAGCTGTAACTAGTAATATATGTAAAGAAAAATAAGAGCTTTCTGCTGGCAGAAGAAAATTTATGCGAAAAAAGGGGTCGCATACTTAAGTACGATATGAAGGAACTCAGGGAAAAAATGTATGTCAAGTTCCTTACTCCAAACCTTGTCAAAATTTTCTATACTCATTTGATAGGCTCCTTTTCTTTTTAAACATTTGCAGGGACTTGTGATGTTTTAAATTACATGAAACATATGTTTCCTGTTTGCTACGGCGGGTACTTACGCGTAAACGAAGATAAGACATCCTTCAGCAAGCCAGGGTGGAAGCCTGTCGACAACTCCACGAATAAAGACGAACTTTTCCGACTTTGCCCAAAGCCTTGGAGATACCAAAGTGCCGAGGATATGGACACGGTTCCTAAGTGGGGACAGTTCTCGTTTTATCCTGGAGGAGGTTTCGTGGTCGACTTAGGTTATGAAAACTCTACAGGCTTTACCGTTATAGAAACACTACAAAGCAATGACTGGCTCGACAGGCAAACCAGAGTCATTATATTGGAATTTTCCTCTTTCAATCCATCTGTTAATTTACTTTGCATGGCTACGTACTTCTTTGAGGTAGAGGCTTCCGGATACAGCGTCCCGTTCACAAGAACCGAGGTTATTTCATTGGACTCAGCAGGGGCTGGCTCACAACAATTTTACCTCATCTGTGTTCTGTTCTTTATCATATTTGTCGCTTTGTACCTCGGAAGAGAGTGCTACAGGCTGTACAAACAACGTTCTCGATATTTTAAATCTTTATGGGGTTGGGTAGAAATTTTCCAAGTAATATTTTCTTTGCTGGCTGTGGTGATGTACATCGTGCGATCCAAAAAGGCGACCTCTACGATTCAGAAGCTTCAGAAAAACATTTACGCAAACCTCAGTTTTCAGGAAGTCATCACTTGGCTTGAAATCGAGAACGCTGCTCTTGGGATTTTAACATTTATTGTCACCGCCAAACTTTTGAGACTTATACGCTTCAATCAACACGTTGTCGTGCTTTCAAAAACCCTGAAGACGTCTGCGCGACTGTTGTCATCATTTACCGTTGTTATGTTGATCTGCTTTACTGCCTTTCTGCATTTCGGGGTTTTGATCTTCGGGACGGGTTCGAGGCATTACTCTTCGATACTCAGAGCTACGTATTTTCAACTCGAACTGACTCTGGGGCGCGTGAAAGCGAGACCCATCTATGAACTAGCAGAAGCCAACGATACTTTTGGAAGAATTTTTGCCGTCCTTCTTCTCTTTACCCTGACGATAATGGGCATGAATTTTTTTATCGCCATTGTTAAGAGTGCTCTTATGAATGCAAAGGTCTTCGTGACTGAAAATGAGCTCTATAACCTTCTGGACGAAGATTGGAGCCAAAAGGGAGGAGAAAATAAACGCTTATTTGACGCTATAAGTGAAC